TTGTAATCTTAATAGAATTGTTAAATTTTCTTGCGTATCAACGAATTTGATCGTACAGCGATCATGTTTCGCACCATCTCCCCACTGCCATGAAGGCCGTCTTACAGATATGGTAGCTTGTTGGCGATTATTGATTCGTCGATATTAAGAGGTGCTAGCTGTTGTATTCAGTTGGATTATTAAGACCGTCGGTGTTTTTTGGCAACATGGTTTGGTATTAATGAAGATACCAACCTACAACAACCACAATACCGATGTGGTGTAAGAATCTTGATTTGATACACTTTTTTCTCTTTATGCTTTATGCCACAGCAACAACGACCACAACACCGACCTGATCCACCAAAACTCAACACCACATGCATGGTTTTGCCCACAATGACCACAACGTGTATTTGTCCATTGTCCAGGCCTTTATCCATATCTTAAAGATTTTTGTTCACGTTGTGGATTTGCTGTTTGGAATCTGTATCGATAGTTGTGAGAGCGCACGCGTGTGTGTGTGGGTTTTTGGATATGTGAGCTTTTTGTTTGTTTGTCTGTCTGGTGAGATATCTTCCAGTGATTAATGAATGTTTTACCACAACATCGAGTAAAAGCGTTGTCTTGTGAGCAAAACAAACAGATCGGCGAACTGACGGACGGACAAAGAAGAAAGAAAAAAGAAACGGGTGTTTTGGCTTCTTCGGCAGTTATCATGTTGTTCTCATTGACAGCCATATTATCATTCGAACGTGTTGCAATTTAATGACTTGTGTTCAAGACATTACATCCATATGAATAATGATAATAATTGCTACTGCCGCCACACTAGTAATCGATATTTTGCCATTTCTGGCTATGCATTTAACACCTTCAATATTTTCTTCTGGTACGATTCTTTTTATCCAGTGAAAGATTATTATCAACGATGGCACGTTCCAATTGAAAACGTCATCAAGGTTCCGTATGTATGAAAGAAAACGCTTAAAATAAAAATAACTAAAAAATTTCAAGAATTTCTAAAAATACATGGAATTGGTCGGTATTCCTTATGGAGACTATGCCACACATAAACATGGCCTAACGATAGCCCCAAAATCAAAGAAGAACAATTCAAAACTTGTGCCCATATTTTAAGTTTTATCGGTTGGATTTTGTTGCTACTAAGACTCCAAAATTCCAAATTATAAGAAAATTCAAAAAAAAAAAATTTTTTTTTGTACCAAATCGAAAATATTCCATTTTTCTGGTAGAATAAATCAGGGATCAAACTTCCACATAGACCAGTTATCATAATATAACTGCTCTTTAAAAACTTAGGGCAATGACAAAAAATTAAAAAAATTATTGTTGCCTTTTAAAACAAAAAATCCGTTAAACAATGAATCATCGAGTATGTGCCTTAAGTCTTTCGTTTTGCGTTTGTATCATTCACAACACCCGGTTAAAGGGTATTATTCAGTTGTTTAACAATCTGAACATCAAGACATAAACTTGATCAGAAAGAAGAAGTTTTATACAAAATTTCCACCCGAAGACGTTGTATTCTTACTTTTCCGGCTTCCAATTTCTTCCATGTCCCATTTAGCTGAGTCCTCGTTGGATGCTAATTTGCGTAACGTAAATATACGTATGGATCTAAGCTTCATATATCTATCTATTTCAAGCGTTTTATAGATCCTAGCCACATTTTCCAGCCTAAATACCTATAATTTAATATTTCGAAATAAATTTAGATAGCACGCATAATAATCAATGTAAAGTATATAAATGCAGGAAAAGCCCAAACAAAAATAATATTTTACAAGCTTTAAAATTTTGAGCCCAACCGATTTTTTATACCCTCCACATACATAGTTACTATCGAAATAATCATATCCTTCAGCCCCATAATCGGTGTTTTGATGATTTTAGAGAGTTTCCAGAGAAATAGCTATAAATTCGGTATTTTGGGTTCATAACGAGTACTATCTACTGTGACAACATAGGGTGAGATAGAAAAATTGCACCAAAGTCAAAAACCACAATTTTTATAATTTATTTAAATTTTATTGAATGAAAGAAAAAAATGTTGGAAATAGCATCAAATTTTAAAATAAGTTTAGATTTGTTCCAATTGGACACCTTTGGCACGAATTATGGCAAATGAAACCGTCACACACTGCCCGAATGTTGCTCTGCGGTATTTTGGACCATTCCGGCGAAGCGCTTGCTTGAGGTGATCGACACTTTGGTATTTTTAGTACCAACCTTGCTTTCCCAAATACTCCAGACACAATAGTCCAACGTATTGGTATCCGGAGATTTTGGTTGCCATTGTGCGCTGGAAATGAAGCGAGGAACCTCATTTTGTAACCATTCTTGGGTGCTGAGTGCGATGGTGCTGAGTTCCTTTGGAATGTCCGAGGTCAGCGGTCAAAATGTTTGCGTGACCAAGGCTTTAATACACCCTCCAGAATATTTTCGCGATAATATTCGGCATTAATTCTGATGACGATCGGCTGTTATGGCGGCCCACACTATCATCATGGCCGGCGCTTGAGTTCTGTTGTCTGGTGGCCAACCGAAAGTGCACATTTTCAGCTGACCTCTTTGGCAAGTAAACACGATCATTTTGTTTGTTTACAAACTGCTGGACAACGAATGTTTTCTCATCGGAGAAAACCAAATTCGACAGTTCACCACTTTCGGCCAAGCGAAGCAACTCTTTAGCTCTATTGAGTATATTTTCTTTCTGTTGCGGTGTAATTGCACTGGAATTATTTTAAAAGCTGTCGGACGAGTGGCTTGGAAATGACAGCAATCTGAAGTTGATTGCAGTTTTTTCGTCTGACCCTGTATATTACCCTTCCTCCCCTTATTCGGTATTTTGATGATTTTAGCCTGTTTCCAGCGAAATAGTTCTAAATTCGGTATTTTGAGTTCACAAGAACCTACTGTGGCAGAACTTTGTATATAAGTTAATATTGTTATATAGCCCATTAACTGTACCTCCCATCGGCATTTTGACGATTTTCGCAACAGTTTCATGCTCAAAATTCGGTATTTAGGATTCATAATCGATACTATTTTCGGTGACAGAAAAATGTCTTAATAGATCCACATTTTCATATATCCCCTATATAACGGCACATTCCTATATTCGCCATTTTTATAATTTTAATCTCAGTTTCTAACGTAATGGTATAATATTCTGTAGTCACAGCTCAAAATGGATTCCAGCTACTGTGGCAGAACGAAAATGTTTTCCTATTCCCCAAATAACGATATTTCTCAATATTTGGTATTTTGCCGATTTTAGCCACATATATGGTTTGTGATTGTTTGAACAAATTTTCGATTTACTAGGGCAATATTACTAGGCAAGAGTTCAACTATTTATCGAGATTTAACTGTATCAACTTCAAGGTTTTGAATCGTTATTTCAGTTCACAACACTAGTATTACCCACAAAAGATGGTTTCCATATCAGTGAAAATTGAGGAGCATACCCATTACTTTGCCACTTTTCCATGTTTCTACCACAAAGTGGATATTTTGCAAAAAAAATCAAATATTTCACCTATCTTAAAGTCCATAATTAGTTTAACTATCTATTCTATATTCTTCTATTTATATGAATAATTTACAATGCAATAATATGGGCAGAGTTATGCCAGATTCTAAAATGGAACCTCAATTAGAGTAGGATGAAGTTCTGTGCCTGTACCTCAAACATTAGCTGCTCCATCTCAACTCCAACTTCATTATTTATGCACAAAATTCATTTGTGGCAGTTGTTCCGATTTGGCGTTTTCCATGCGACTGGTTGGCTGAGTGGCTAGCTGACTGACTGACTGACTGACTGACTGGCCGTTGTGATTGGTCGTGTGCCTTTCGTATAGCTTTCATTGGAATTCGTTTTAGAGACGTTTTTGGTATGTTGTTTGTTCACGCATTCCGTAATGCGTGGAATAGCAAATGGATTGCATGTTTATTGCTCCCACCACTACATGGCCAGATCTTCGTACATCAGACCGGCCGGTGATTGATACCAAACAGCAACAACAACGTAGCTCTTACCACAATAAAATCAAAAGGAGCAAAAAGGATTCGTTTGACCATTTAGGCATTAATATATGCGTAAAATGTTTCCAAAACGCAAAACGCAAAACGAGAAAAGTAGAAGAGGCACACACACTAAGCGTGACTAAAAGTTGTGAAATGATATTGTTAGTCGTACACCTTAAAACAAATTGTTTGATACCTCAACTTGACAACCGTTGTTGCTATGACACAGACATGGCGAGAACTAAACCAACAGACCGACAGACAGACAAGCAACCTGATGCGAATTGGTGTGATATGGGACGGGTGGGACGGGATGAGGCAAGACGGAGTTCGCTGCCATGGACACCAATGTCGACACATAGCATGATGTCGAATTCTATGCTTAATTGCTAGCTGATGATTAAGTTGTAAGTCACAGCTCCGCAGTGACCATATTTGTAATGCGCGGTATGGTGGACTCAATTAAATTTTCTAAAATAAGCTTTCGGACCGTAGCCGAGATGGCTTGAATTGCAAAACAAATAGCCAACCACAACAACAAGAACTACAAAAACCCAAATCAATAGTTTCCACCATAAATATACATAAATTCTTGGGAATCATAATCATTGCCATCCCCCAGCCATTGACGAACCCAGACATGATATTGACATTGCCCATTGGTGTTCAGTCAGTCATTCAGTCTCTCTGTCTGTCTGTCCACTTAGTATGCATCAATGCCAATCAGTATTAATGATATAAATAATTAAATATAATAAGATGGTGGTTTCTCCGCGCTGAGATGACATCGGCGGAATGGCATGGAATGGAATGAGATGAGATGAGCAGCTATTATAACCCATCCCATTGCATTGCATCGCATCCCATTCCATCTCCATGTTGCAATGTTTAGCTAATGCAATTATAAATAATGTATAACCACATTTTTGACTGATTGGTTTTCATTTTGGCTATGGCTGTCATTTCAGGTTCTTCATTGTCGTTCAGCTGCCTGGCAATCGTTCGTTCGTTCGTTCGTTTGGCATTGACAACATCTTGTGCCCATACAGATTATGGGCATATCAGAAGAAGTCAAACTGGAGGAATTACCGCACGAAGCCAAACTAGCTCACCAGGATGCTGTTCCCGATCGTTCGGTTTCCTGTATTGTAGCTACTGGGGCCAGTGGCGGTACCAATAGTCCTGTGTCCGATGCCAATAGCGATGGCGAGCTGGACGACTATGCGCCGAAGCGTAAACAGCGTCGATATCGCACAACGTTTACCAGTTTCCAATTGGAAGAGTTGGAGAAGGCATTTTCCCGTACCCATTATCCGGATGTGTTTACAAGGTAAGTGAATTTTAATGCAAATTGTATCCTATAGCCTGGATCCAGGATTTCGAAAGATTTAACCAGTTTAGTTGTAATATATATGCGACTGCGTGTTTAAAGTATATTTTGTATTTACTATGAACTATATAGAACGATGTTAGTGAATATCGGATAAAGTAGGCCACCGGCTAAATATTTTTTATGAATGAGGGTGTCAAAGTTTATCTTTCGAATTATATTTAAAAAGTTGGCCACGTTTTGGTTCTATTCGGGAACGCATTTTGAATGTGTTAATGGAACTATTAATTTAGACGGACGAACTCTGTGGCATGACTTAAAGGAAATCAATTGTTCGAAAATGTGTAATTTCTATAAAGTAATTCATTAGAGGGAATGACTTTACCTCTACGAGATGTTTGATAGTCAAATTGAATGTCCTATTATGAATACTCGCATTGCTGCCAAAATCGTGGTCTTCGTTTCAAATATTCTTATCCGTTGAACATTTTCAGAATTTTTACAAGGAGAAAATAGAGTCAAAATTGAACAGCTTTTACAGGGCGTTTAAGTAGCAGAGCGAAATATAAGCTACAATAATCATTGTCCATCCTGGCATAAAGTGGACGTAAATGTCCGTTCATTATGGCAACAACTTGTTTTTGCTGGCAATATTTAAGGTTTCTGTTTTGAGTGTTGGCTATTCCAAGACGAAGTCGAAGTCGTATGGTTACAAGCTTTGAAAGAAGGTTTATTTTGGTACCGCGTATTTCGGAAGCTCCTAACTAAGAGCACAGATATACTCGTTTTTAGTCGGGAGTAAAACTTGTTCGCGAGAGGGTTTGCCCAAAGAATGCGAGTTTATAACGAAATTTGTTATTCACTTTTGTGGCTGCGCTCTTTTGTGTGGGAGCGCTCCAGCGTCGCTCTTGTTTTAAAAAAGGAGGAGTGGGAGCAGAGTTTCCTCTAAGGGTGAAATATTTTGTTTGCTGATCTATGCGTTAGTTTGTGACACCGAAACCGATTTTGATGTTGCTATAAACTATGAGATGGGGAGCGGGAGAGGGGGTGTTTGGATACAAAATCAAAGAACAGAAAAAGTGGCATATGCTTTGTTGGCAGCAGTGATCGGCTTACGGTGGCTATTTTGAGATTTGCGGCAACTAAAAAATACACTCATACATACTGCCACCTTATTTATTGAACACTCAATTGAGAACACATCACAAATAGTAGTGGCTTCCATACAACCGAGTGTTTGATAATCAAATCATTTTTTTTTTCATAAATATATTTTGTCTTTATCCTCTCTCTTTTGAATGCGTATGCGTAAGAACAGAAACACGGAATACAACGCAAACCACATTGATTAAAACGACAGTTATCATTATTATTTTAAATTGCAATAAGAATGGTTCAGTTTGAGGATAACTCTGTATTTAATTGTTGGTTGTTTTAGTTCAGCAATGTTTGATAGTAGTTCGTAGATCATGCACATTTACGAATGAATCAAACCGAGTGTTTGACGACAAAAATGTAATCCGGTGGTATTCAGTGGCATATGCTGAGTCAATCGAAGACAAATTAAGTTAGTCATCCGGAATATACCAAGGAATAGAGCCCAAATTCGAGAACTATCATCACAATATTTTATGACGTCATTAAGAATTTAAAATTAATTTTCGAAATTTTGTAACACGTACCGATATTAAAACGATTTAGTGGGAAAATTTGTGTCCACTGAGAATTTAACAAACAAACAAAGTCAATTCATTAGTCAATTGGCGCTAAAACCTTCGAAAATCTTCAAAATCAGTTTATTAATATTCGAAGTTTCCGGCAGTTCGAAATTGTAGCCTTTGAGAGTCTGACTAGCCAAAAAATGAAGGCTATATCAAATAATAGACAGATATTGACGATTTTTTGAACACGAAATATATATAGCACTCAGATTCCCGAAAGGCAAGCAGTACCGTTACATGGGTTCTTTACCTCGACTAATCATTGTGGAAAATACAAATTATTGGTCCGGATTTCGAATCTTCACTTAAAATAATGTGGGCTCTATATATGCTTCAACAGACAAACGGATATCAGTAAAGCGTCTTAGAATATTATACTTTCAAAAGTAAATATATATCGTTCGATTACTTAAAGAGTGTGTAACTCAAAAAATGCGTTTTTGAGTTATCAATCCGATTTTTTCTACGAATTTTACTTTATATTTCTTCTCAATTCTCATGTTGATGTGTATAGAACTCAAGGAGTTCGACATTAAACCACAAAACATTATATTGAGTTATTTAAGCACTTATAAACTTCAAATCATACCTGATCTTGCACAGAAATTTGTCACTGACATCTGAAAAAATTTGATGCACTATCATATCGGGTCTCATTTGATTTTCCATTATATATCCATTATCTACGTTATCTCCGATGATGGTCAAACCATGGCACTACCAGAACGGTTGTTTAAGGAAATAAATAAATATAACACGTTGTAGAGTCTTTTTATCCTAAATTAATTGCATAAATTTCGATATTTTTAAATTTTCACAAATGTAAAGGAAAATAAATATAAACCAGTAAAGAAAGGTCGAAAGTCGGGCGGGCCGACCATGTGATACCCTACAGCAACATGCATATTAAGTAGAGCTAGCCTTAAACGTTTATATTGTAAATTTATGGAAGTAACCTGTCTTGAATGCGTATAATGGATTTAGAGCAGTTATAATTTGGAATCAGAGGGAACTAATACATTAGAGGTATGCCGAACTCTGAATGCATTTTCATCACATTTGACGAAGGCATTTTTACCTCTCGTACCAAACAACATTGTTTGTGAGTACATGATATGACTTCGAAAAGGTTTCGCCAAATTTGATACACTTACTTCTAGCCTGAATTCGGTCGTATGGGGCAAAGAAGTTATATATGGAAGCTATATCCAAATCTGAACCGATCTCGATAAAATTTGGCAGAGGTATTTCTGAGCCGTATCTGATATATGGTACCAAATATCATTGTTGTGCAGTGCATTCTACGAATGTGGGGAACTTAGACACCTAATGGGATAAAACATATAGGGTAAGTGTACCAGTAGTCGGCACTTTTAGGATTTTCGCGTTTTTAATCGCTCGCCATTCTGAGTGGTACTTTTCAATTATTGCAAAGTTAATTTCTTCAGATTCGAAATTTTGTATAGTTTTTGCAATAATAAATAAAGTTTTAATAACTTTTTATTAAATTTCATAAATTTGTAGTTTTATTAAAACAATGCTTTTTTGCCAGTAGTCGGCACCACATGCCAATTGTCGGTATGGCATGTTCCAACAGTCGGCATACCGATTTTTTGTAAGGATAAATAGTAATTATAATAAATTAATTCATTAAAATATAATATTTTTGTTTAGTTAAACTTCGACGTCGAATCGTCTTTATTGTACTTTTCTTAAGAATATGGATTGTTGAGGACCTTCACAGACAAAAATTTAATTTTTATTAGAATAAATCATCTTTTCTTAGCGAAATTGTACACAAAGATAGCTGAAAATATATTTGAAGTAAACAAAATACATTTAGTTATAAAACTTTCATTTATCATGCCGAACTTAAGCACACTTACCCTATATGGGAATTATTTATGTATTTATTTATTTTTTTCGATACACTTACGTCTAGACTGAATTGGGTCGGATGTGCTGAAATACATCCTATTTCGACGAATATTTCACAATATAATTGAATTCGGAGGAATATGTATGTGGGAGCTATGTCTAAATTCTCACTAATTACAATAGGGTTCTTCCTGGGGCAAAACAAAAAACGTTGGAAAAAATTTCATCTCAATCGGAAAATAAATGCGACTTGTACTTTGTTTAATCGATTTGCATAAATCGATTGAGAATGTGATTCTATGCAGATCATCAAAAAGAACTTTGGGTCTATTTCGTTTTCTTCTGCATGTCACTGACAAATGCACTAAGACATAATACTCTGTACCACAGTGTGGCCAAGGGTAAAAACAATTGTAAATTGGGTTTTCACTTGTCGAAACATATTTGAAAAATCAGTACTCGTACCTATGAATCTGTTATCAGCTATTCATTTACAGGAAGTATTGATAACATTTATTTTTATAGATGACTACAGCTGCTAAAAATCATCAAAGGCTGCAGTGCCACTGCAAACTAGATCTATGTTCACAAATTTGTTGAGATAGCAAGACCCCAGGTATAAAGCCAAAATCCTTGGATTTAATAATTTACTTACGACTTTCTGAACGGTTTGAAGATTCAATTTTAAATTTAATTATCACCAACTGCAATTACATCCAATTTAGAAATTAAAACCATTTCAGTTTTGTTTTCGATTACAAAGCAAAATTAAATTAAAAAACAATCTTGGGCCGCAGCATCAATGTGGCCGAACTAACAAAAACTAAAACGGAATGTCTGCTAACTTGGCTGGCTGGCTGATTGCGTCTGTATCTGTCTGACAACCGGCACAAAACAAGTGTTTTGAATGCAATGCTTCGTTTCATTATTTTCCAATTTATGTCCGTATGTAATCGTTTCGACATAATTACTATAATTTTCATAATGAAATTTCATGTTTTCTGTAATTGAATTTATTTTAAATAATTTCTTCCTCTGCATCTCCAGAGCTCTTTTCAGGCACTGCCAAGCAACTTGAAATGATTGAGTTTGGTGTTCGGGGAGAGAAACAACCGCCACCACTCACCACCACCATTACAACCAAGTTCGTAGCGGCTTTATTGCCAACAAATTCGGCTAGCCGTTGCAGATAATTGTTTTGTTTGCTGGCTGACTGGCTGGCCGGCCGGGTGGTTGGTTTGTGAGCAAAATAAAGGTGTTTTTGATTGTTTCGTACGAACGGCAAACGGATACAGTCATAGCTGTTTTCATTAAAGCCGTTGTGGTGATAATGATGACAATTACTACGAGGTCCATGTTCGCCAGAGATGGTATTCGCAAATGCTACATATCGATGGCTGT